CTGACTAGCCCCAGGAAGAAGGTACCTTTTCGTGTCAGAATTCGGAGAATAATGAGGTTAGCTGACTAGTGCTAACTGTGTTACCATATTTGTACAGCTCCGGAAGAAGTCCGTCTGAACTTGCAGCCTTGAATCCCGTCAAATGCCAAATCGCACGACAAACTTCTGCTTCACTGAGTGAGTCAAGCCTTCAAAGACCCAGGGCGGCAGCTGGGTTCGCATGGTATACAAGTGGGCGGTGATGGCCAACTGAACTGCGAATAAAAATGTTCGGTACTTCTTTTTAAACTTCTCTGTAGGTCAGCAATCAGCAAACCGTCTGCTTCGTGAATAGTCTCACTGACATTAACTCGTTGTCCATTGGAACTAATGAGTTGGAGGAGCTTGCGGGTATTGCTAGGGAGGGCAGCGGCCTCCATTTCCGAAGTACGCTGGGACTACCAGGCTTGGCGCTCGCTGCGTATGCTTCCTTTGAGCTGCCGACTGACAGAACGGCGCATCTCATCATGATTAGATTCCGCTGGGATATTCCTGAAGCGTTCAGCTTGATCCAAAGAGCGCGTGGAGCTCCAGGCTTTAGTAACTTACTGCGTATGACTACAGACTCACTGACCTGAAGCAATCGTGCTCTTCTGCATACACCACGTTTGTGCATCAATGTTCCGTGCTGATTCGCGGCTGGGTGCATCGGCCAGGGAAGCGTACAGGTGCTCGCATAAACAAGAGCATGGTCTGGGTCGAGAAAAGTGGATCAGATGGAGCTGAAATCCTTTACATTACCCCGCCATCTGTAACTAATTGCGATGTGGTTAATATGAGACCATGATTGAGTCGTAGAAGCTAGGCGCGAAGCATCGGAACGTCTCTTCGGATGCCTGAAGCCGATGCCTGAGAGAAACAGATGATTAACTTTACACAGTGGAGCAGTCTCTACATTATTTGGGCGGCTCTCGCAGAGCACATGCGGACCACCGTGATGACTTTTACCGAATAATAGACGACTGACTGTACGTTGAGATCCCCAGTAATGATAAAAATTGCGGGTTTACCAGCACCGCTCAACAGCTGGTGAAGTACACAATGAAAATCGTCATTAACCAAGTCAGCACTACAATGCTTTGGAGCGTACGCTGAGATCACAAACAAGTTGCGTCTCTTCGCGCGATGTCTGTTGATCCTGCACGATCCTCGAAATCGAACTGCACATAGGCGAATGTTAATGGGGAATCAGTCCAGCAGTGCTACCTCGGCTTTGCTACGTAGTACTGCGACAACATCATCCAAGCTTGTCGCGGTTGCTTCTGTGCCACCAAATAGACGTGGGTGAAATACGGCTCCGCGGTCGTTGGGAAATCTCAACTCGATCACAGTATTGAGATCCTGCAATCGGGCCTCGATAAGACAGCAAGCATCGATGGCTATGGATTCCAGGGTGCGCACGAGACTAGCCTGTTGCCCGATCTGAATGAGTGTGCGTACCTTAAAGCATGCCACACGGAACGAAGCTCGAGGCCGAAGTAGGGCAGCTGGGCGAGTTCTGTGGTTGTCGACGAAACCACTAGGAGTAGAATCATGGAAACGGGAATCAGCTGGAAACGAATAAAAATGATTGATAACGTATGGACGGGTGGCATGTGAAGAGGTGTAAGCAGCGGTAGTAAATGTAATAAAGCGCGGTATAACAGAAGAACGGTGCATGGTTTCGTCAGTGTGTGTGTGAAATCACTCGTTTGTCCAAGCTGAAATATTAGAACGTGCCTCATTCACCGGAACACATGCAGAGAAACTATGCACCTCAGTGGTCGGAAGAGATAGTCTGAATTGAAAATCCGGTGTCCGACTTCATCACTACTAATGTGAAAAAACTAACGCACACGAACGATGCTCCGGATTCAGTGATGATCAAAAGCAGTATCTGAATACCACTCGAGTGAACAGGCTAGGTCTGGCAGCCATACAAGAGCACACTATGTGCCGTAGTGTTGTAGACCCAAGCTGTTAGTCAAAGGCTGAGATCACGCTGGCGCCAGAGATGTCGGAGTTTAACAAAGGCTACTCTGGCTTTTGGTATTAAGCAACTTGGTGTCATCCGCTAATCCGCTCAGTTTAATACGATTTACAAAGGAAATAAACTTGTCGACAACCTCCAAAGAAGAGCCGGAGTGGGTTAGGTTAGGAACAGCTCTTAACCAGTCTATGAGAAAAACTGTATTGTAATGTGCAAAGCTCATTCGGGATTGTGATTCAGACGTCTACAACATGTGCAACATGTTCTAGATAGACTGCAAGGAGTCATAGCTTACGGCAATGTCAAGTCGTGACTCCAAGTCACAGAGCCCATCACCTTGGAGTAGGTCGTTGCTAATAAACCCACCGCTTTTCAGACCACTCACTAAGATGTCCTTCCTAACGAGATTGAACAAGAGCAACCCTAGCTAGGGCCACTAATGATAATAAAGGCGGCCGAAATTCCGTCATGCACCCACACTCGGCTGGATGTTCTAGCCTGAATGGATTGAAAAATGATATTATAATGTTCAAATACTTCCCTTCTCAACAGCCAGCATGTTCAACCAAGTAAACTGCTGTACTTATGTCCAAGCAGCAGACGATGACAGGCTAACCAAAAGCCGGACGGTGTTCGAACATCTGGCGGATCGCAAAGATTTGATCAATACCTCTCCGACCTGCGACAAACTTAGCCTGCTCTTTACGTGTGTTTTGCTTGCCTACTCATCTGGGACCCCGTAAAAGCAGGGTGGCGGGCAAGTTGGACGCAACGCATAGAACGCTGATCTCCCTGTACTTGGCGCAATCTGTTCGGTTACTTCTTATGAGGATGGGCTAATTCCTAACCGGATGGGATGATTATAAATTGAGGGAAATGATGGTGACTTAAGAGACTATTCGAAATGCTCTGATCAATGTATGAGACTGTGTTGGCCAGTGTGGAATCGATCACCACCGGTCTCCTAGCCACTTCGCTTACAGCTGGCTTATGAGCGCCGGTAGATCAGATACGAAAAGTTTTCAGAAGTTCCCTGAAGATGCGACCTGCTCTATCTCGTGGCAGTCGAACTGTTCGCCTAGCTTGGCAAATTTGTTACAAATGTTTCATCATCAATTTAAGTGTTATCATCAGTGCGTTGTTGACTAGCGCATAGCCAGTAGCGCAGTGCAGGGAAACTTCGATGAGAGTGCGTCGGGTATAGTGCGGGTGCGATTTTATACGTTCCCTTGTTTGGTGGCAGAGATGAGCAATCCTATTGGCCTAGACGTCCATCCGTGTTCAGCTTGACGGACAGGTAGTTGACCTTTGACCTTGTCTTCACTGGCTTTTGCATTGTGACCCTTACGTAATAAAGCGAGAGTTTAATTTTGTCTTCCGCCCCGTTTGTCTGATGTTCTGATCAACCGGATTTATGGTGGATGTCCCTCGAACGTAGTGTGGCGTATGCTGCGTCCAGTTCAATGTGTCGGTTAGTTGAATTAGCTGTAGAGTGCCATGCTTCCAGCAATTCCTTCGCATGTTCTATACTCGTACGCGTCAGAATCTTCACATTTTCCAGATCAAAGTGGTGCCCTTCTTCATCTTCAAGTGTGGAAACCAGCGAATTCGGGTCATGTCTTCTTATAGCGGCTTTGTGCTCGGTGCTTCGTGTAGGAAGCTACCTCCTAATTTTTTTCCGCGTAATTCCTGTCACGCAGTATTTTATTTGGTAGATAACATTGTTTTGGTTGCTTTGATTGACTTTTTCCTTAGGTTTGGAAATCAGTTTCCTTAAGGAGGCACTTGGTTTGTGTGCCACTGGAATTCCACTTGACCGTAGTGACGCTTCCGTCAGTTCAGTAACCTTCTTGATGTATGAAAGCACTACTCGGTTGTTGGCTGCTCTCGTCACTGTCATTGTTGCTGAAGCGTTCCTTTCCTTAAGGTTTTTCTGATGTAATTTCTCCGATAAGCGCTGTTTTGAAATACTCGGTATGGGTGGTTTCCTTCTATCCTTCTTAATTCAGTTGTACTGCAGTGTGTTTCCGCTTTTGAATAAGCTTTAAAGGCAGCTCTTTGTGTGGTTCATGGGTGGTTGCGGTGGTAGGTTAATATCTTATCTTTTTCCGATATATGCGATTGTGACTAGCAATCCAACCACACAGCGGGTAAACCAAATGCCACTTGGAAAGAAGACTGTCCGTTGGCAATTCTTTTACTGACTCAGCCAAAGCCATGCATGCCTTCTACACCTTCATTTATATACCTTAATAGAATATCAGAAACTGTAGAGAAAGATGGGTGTAGGAAAGGCACGAATCATCGTTAAGTGGTGTTGTCCCTAGGAAATCTAAGTTAGCTTCAGTATGAATTGGTGCGGTAACTACCACAGCAATCGTGGAGTTCAGATGATTCACTACGACACGACACGATAGAGACAATGTTATCATGAGGAGAGTTCAGTCTATTCACTGCAGAGTACACAACAGACGCATGTGTCCTGAGTAGAGCTCAGTTAGTTCTTTGTCGCTTGGCCTCTATGTCCTGGGGATGGCTCGATTGTGATTAGTACAGTCTGAACCGCAGCATAGTGATTATGTGTCACAGGTGAGTCCGGCGAACTCTGCGCAACTTTGTTGGAGCTATACCAGCTCCGAAACAACAGTCGATGAGTTGTATAAAGAAGTGAAACTCCCTTGATCTTTGTCTCTTTTTTGGGAGGAAGAACACCACTAAGTTAGTTTCGATTTCGAACAGCATTGTAGGCCAGTAGAGGAATGTGCCCATTTTGCTTTTCATGCGAACATTGTTCATTTGGCTTACGTGGGCACAGAGCGTGAATTTCGATGAAAGCTCCCAGGAGAGATGGGTATGCTACCGCTCATCAAACTTGCATCAATGATGCAGTAGGTGCCGCTTCGGTACCAATTCCGTTACACCTGTTACTATCAAGAACACCATGCCCTGTGACTAACCAATCCGATGAATTCACACTTTACCATCTTTTCAGGCAGAACGGGTTCCACCATGCGAATCACAACCACTCCTCAACTTTGGCATGGGAATGTTGTACTTCACCAAGGAGGAGGATGCCAAACGCTTTGTGTACAGTGACCAAGGATTCATGGAAGCGGATTTCATTGACTCCTCAGAAGTAATCATCGTTCCCGTGCGTAAGCCTATGCTAATGGGGTCGAGTAAGTTCCCTGCCCAGGCACTGCCTGTCCTTCAGCGTTATTTTCTCACGTTCACAGTGGATGTGTGACGTTTGATTGAAGCTATAGGTAGTCCAGCGCAAATGATTCATGTCTCTCTCCTAGACGCGGATGTCGTATGGTCATTCGCCGTCATGACGTCTGAATGGTCTTCTGAAGACAGTACAAGCATTAGCTTTGCACCCCAATTCAGTAAATGCTCAGCAAACCGTAATTTATTGCTGATCGAATTGTTATGCTTCAATAGTAACACATTTGTCAGCGATAGTCCATTTAGTTTGGCACTGATCTGCTAGTAGAATCCTATTGGCCGAATACTGCTGGACCCCTGCAGTCCTACAGGCCAATCGAATTTCTCTGCGTCCCAATTAGTTAGGTTTCGTCGATGTCAGTCTGAACCAATCATCTACTGGTGAACTAGCCCCATGCGGCCGGAGCTACTAGCATGCACTGCTGATCGGCACCTTGGCGATAACTGATTAGCAATGTTTCTAATGCATTCCATGTATCTAATCCTTCCAAAGATTCACGCACATCCACAGTTACACACCTCAGCACCTCCGCGTACAGATAAACCCTAATTTATATTGATATAGAATCATGCGTGGAAGTGCGAAAGCACTAATCCCTTCTATGAAACAGCTTTGGACCATCCCACTAGTCCACTTATGGTTTCCGTGGGGCCGGAAAAGAAACTTTGATATAGTTACCAGACTTTGAACCGTTAGACGAGCTGTTGAATTTACACTTTTTATATTAATCGAAGAAAACGACCTCGCCCGTCCGTCTAGAAGCCGATTAGAGACGCGCGGCCTCAATTGGCACATCGACATATGCTGAATTTAATGTCGGTCAGCTGTTTCGCTGCGTCTATATTCTACCTAATAAGACATTTCGGATATCCGGACGTGTATTGCTTCTGCTTTGAACCCATTTCCACCTACCGAGGTGAAATATGTCCGCACAGAAGTGAAACACGGACCCCTTGGGATTACGCATCTAAGTAAATACATGCAGAACACAGGTAATAATAAAAACCTTAGTAATACTTTCAATAAGTATGTTAATCATCCTGCTAAAAACTGTTCTACTAATTAGCAAAGTTCATTGCCGCTACGGTGGCATCATTCCCTTGCATGATCAATAAATGATTGTATAACTGTAGCCGCCTTTGTGTGTACTGGCACAGTACATGACTCACACGTTTGCGACTGACACAAACGCGTTTGCGTCAGAACCTTGTCCGTCAGATAGTAGTTTGCTGACGGAACTCTTCCTTTTCATGTCAACATTTCATGTTTTATTTGCTGCGTATGTTAACTGTCATTTTTGGGGGCTTGATGGAGGGTCTCGATGCGTTTCGAGGACACTACAACAATTCAGGTTCGTTTACATTGCATGACCAACTTTCACTTTCATCTGTTAGATGTCATCTTCTGCCTTTTTAGACTGTTCAAACCACTTTCCCCATAGGAACAAGGCCATAGACACTCTCACCACAAGGTGAGTTATTACGAATGCTGCTGCGTTATCACCTGGGGTTGAAATGTGATTGACATAAGGGGATAAGACAGCAGCCGCTTCTGTGCAGACTAACTGTGTATGCTAGGTCTTCGGCTGGGCTGCGGGGCGAGAGAGCAATTCAATCCACACCCACACGCATGACAATGAGGCCAAGCGTCATGTAATGGGACCTGCCCAAAATCAACCCACACGTAACTCACCCACCGGAAGGTTAATCAACCTGACAGTATCCCAGGGTCTTGACGAAATGCTCCGTGACAGTCCTCCTATGCTGGCCCAGTACTTTTGAAGGGCTATTTAGATTGAACCACGCAATCTTTGTGGACTATGCTGCATGCTCTCATAACGATTGCTGTGCACACTATGCCCGAACCCAAGAGGTGAAGTGAAGCTTGGCCTTCAACGAGATTGCTTTGGTTGACTCGGATGAAAAGGAAAGCACATGGTTGCGCAGCCGAAACTGGTGACTTTTCGCAGGGAATAATATGCGATTAAGCCAGAAGCAAGGGAATTGCAGGGTACATGCCTGCTCACAAGAAGGGCGATTGGGCTCGGATTGAGCGATTTTCTCAAAACGTGGTTTCCCATAATAATGTAACAAGCAACACGACGACAAACGTGGATTTCGTAGACGTCTGGCTGTTGACACCTACTCAAATACTTCGCACTGCCAGTGGCTGTGCCACGGTCTGGAATGCAGTCGCTCAATGAACCGAGACCCAGCCTAAAATCTATCCGGTCCAATTTAACCAACTGCTCTGCAGAGCCTCCTGGAACCAGTGTAATTGGAGTGGCGGTATTAGACGTGCTGTCGTTGACGCGTTTGCATAGTATACATTCAACACAAACATACCGTTAGATAAAATCCAGCACGTACCGGAGAACACTAGGTCCTTCAAGGTAGATATAGCCCAATGTGATATCATCGCACAACATTTGCCAAGTTAGGGATTAGTAGAGACGTTCCGTTATTGCACACTTTTAACAGTTCATTTGGACTCTTCAATCAGGTACATCATGGGAAATGGTTGATGGCCAACCTTTTGATTGCTGTGTAATTCAATGAAAATGTTTTCAACTGACAGTTCGTCATAGCAGTATCCAAAGCAGATGGTCCTCCACGTGCCCGGTAAAGCATTAGATGGCCGTCTCATCCTATCGAGACTCGCCAGCGGTACATGAAAATGTGTTCACTTAGTATGCAGTCGCAGTGAATGGAGTCACCAGGACGAAATGTAGTTCCAGCCGACATTGCGTGTCGAAATCCAGGCACATAACGAATATCACAAACTCCAATAAGGGGGTCATTGGCTAGGTAAAATAATAAATCACTTCGTCAGTACAGACACCAGAGTGTAAAATCACCGATCAAGTGGTCGGAACATTCGTTTCTCTATAAATGATTGTGGCTCCACCCAAGACAGGACGGTCTCAATGCAGATGAGAAAATACAATAGTTCAAACTGAGCGCAATCTTGAAAAGATAGATTTGTAGAAGTAAAACAAGACCTACGAGGTCCGCCAATTTTAGGTGAACCTAGTCGTTGTTAGAAGATGATGACTTAGTTGGTAAAATCCCACCTCCCTCATCGACAAGCTTGATATCGACGAGATGGTTGAAGCAGCGTATGCACTCCTAGACATGATACCTTGCATCTATCAGTCGATGAAAGCGCCGCTATGTGGACAGCACAAATTCACCAAGTTATTGTACTTACCTGCAAAGTAATAAGCAATGCTGCTTTGGGATCATCACCTCTTGATTTCATTGGACAATGGTGCCATGGACTACAACGGACAAATTGGTCAAACTTAATCGAACCGTTTGAAGCTGGTCACGATGATCAGTGCACTATGAAGCACACAAGTATCAACAGACTTAATTGCCCATCGAAGGGATTCACAGGAATTTCAAAGGAATACAGTGAAAAAAGTTCTCCTGAGATTAGTGGAAGCGTTTTCATCGCCGCGCTTCGGATATGCGATTTCTCTAAGCCACTTCCTTGAAACCGTACCGTTTTGACGGCGAACAGCTTGGAATTTTATGTAATTTTATTTCTGCATCGCTTGGTTGCTTGCACTGTATTCATTATTCTCGTTCGATTGTTTGGAGAGATGGATTGACAGAACTACGTACAATGTCTGGATCCTCAAAGTGATATTTTATCGTACTCACAAGTAGCAGGATTTTAGTTGTATTTCTGATAAGGCTTTCATCCCAACAGTTCACAAGCTACATAGCAGAGCCTAGTCCGGAAAAGTGCCAGACGCGTTTAGCTCTATTGGGGCCCGTCAGTGGCGCGCATTCCCTCGGTCCTCTAAGGAGGATCGAACCCATGACCGCTAGAGGCAGATGCCAACTAGCCAGCAGCTTAAGCCACTGAGCCATGGGGGACGTTGGCTCGGCTACATAATTTGCAAATTAACTGGGATATAGCACCACCTATCTACCACTGTCACTGACAGTGGTTAGCCTGCAAGGTGATGACATCCTCTCACTAGACGCTATATCCATAGCATTTGAAATTAGGAGAGGCTGTTTTGATTTTATAGTACTCACAAGTAGCACTGTCAGTGACAGTGGTAGATAGGTGGTGCTATATCCCAGTTAGTCTGCAGATTATGTAGACGAGCCAACGTCCCCCATGGCTCAGTGGCTTAAACTGCTGGCTAGTTGGCATCTGCCCCTAGCGGTCATGATATTTTATCGTTGTGTCCCGATCATGTAGGGTAAACGAGGTGTCTACATCAACTCACGTCAATGTTATCTTCAAACAACATGTAACCAAACCTCCGTATCGACTATTATGACGACACACATCATCAGTCGTCTCAACAATGTAAAGAAGGAAAGTAACTGGGTTTGGAATGCAGTCTGTGAAATTCTCTTAATGCTATCCACCTTGGGGCTACTCTGGGTTTGACAACACAGTCTGTACTTATTAAGCGATTTATTGATCCATAACCTACGCATATTCCATTCCGAGCTCAGTCACTTCTTCAAACTTGGGTGTTAGGGTCGCATGGTTCGAGGCTGCTCAACTTCCCACGCATCGAGCATGCAACAAAGTAACCTTTTTCTGTTTAGCACGCGAGTGGACCACGTTCGCCTGTTACACACTTAGAGTAATTTCAATCCTGTTGTTGTTGCTGCTGCTGATATTATTATTATTATCATTATTATTATTATTATTATTATTATTATTTGTGCAGTGGAGAAGCGGAACAAATGGCCCAGTTTTTCTCTCCATTGTTCGATGTGATAAGTGGTGTAAAGTACAAGTCATGGAAGTGGGTGGGCTAATGGCTCTACTTGGATATCCACATTTCAATAATTTGTATATTGCCCCCTTCTGAGCAGCCTCCCCCTTGCCCAGGGCCTGGGCCCCGTGCAACAATGTGACGATCGTAGCATGGGAACGCAGTAGGTGCTCCGAACTGCATACTGCCAGACTTCC